TTGCAGCGCAACCAACACCCCTCCCTACCGCGGGGATGCGCCTGGTCACTGCGGGCGCCATGAGCGGTCCTGGATCGGACCCCTGCCCCCGTTGCCTGTCCGACGACGTGTTTCGCGTCGTATCAAAAATGGCGAGCGCCGTTGTCAAGATCGCAAGCAATTTTACTGCGCCTCCGCCGGCCCCTATCAACGTGACCGCCTAGTGAGGCTCCCCCTCTTCCACCCCTCCTGTTTTGAGGCAAAGGTCCCAGGATTGGGGTCTGACGGCCAGGCGCTGCTGCTGCTCCTGAGGCTTCAGGCAACCTTGGCGCCGAAGCCTCAGCTCCCCGGCGGTCGGTCGGAAAAACATGCATCGCACGCAAGCTCCGTGTAAACCTACCCTTCAATCCCTAACATGTCATCAAAATCATGCTTGATGACCTGCGCAATCTTATCCTGGATCTTGTCCATGGCCTTGGCGAGGCGGGCTGCGGGGTCGAAACCCTCCGCCATAAGCGTGGCCTGCAGGGTGGCGACATGCTCGGCAAGGCGAACCTGTTGCTTGAACTCCCGACCCAGTCACCTCAATGGGGAGGGTCGGGGACTGGAGCAAATGCCGGAGGGTGCTGCCTCTGGAGGCAACGCCACGGACGAGCACGATTCTTGCGACCCACTTATCAAGCGTGCGCGGGTTGTCGCGAAGTGTGGTTGTGAAGTTGTCGTCGTACGTCCGTGGGCGCAGGTACATGGTGCATCGAACATCCTTGAAGCACACAGCCCGCCAATAGCCGGCCTCAAAGCTTTCACGCACGGCAAATGCGCCCTGGCGGGTAATGCAGACTTCGCTATTCTCGCGAGCAAAGCGCCTAGCATCAATCGCCGCGACTACACACCGGGGATCGGCTCACTTTGCGACAAGGAGCGATGACCCCGTCAGCTGAGTGAGCGCCCGTCCTCTTCGGATCGCGGCATGTAGACGGTGTGACACCCAGTGCGTCTGTCCGGGCGCGGGTTGTGTATGAGTTGGAGTTGCCGCAGCGAGTGCGCCGGAGCAGGGTCTTGTCCGGCTGCTTGAAGGCTTCGCTCAAGCCCATGAAAAAGCTTCGCCTTTCTCTCGGTCTCGCCCCAGTACCGGGCCTCTTGCTGCGCAGCAGGAGAGGCCACCCTCTACCAGGTCGGTGGCCTTTGGTGGCACTTGCACGCACGGCCCGCGCGACGCTTGATTTGCGACGCAGCATCATCGCTCGCGCCCTCGCGAACGTCTCCTGTTAATCCTAGCCATAGCGCCGGCAGCACGCGCGTCGCCGAAGCCTCCTGCGCGTTTTCAGTTTCCGCTTGTGTCCTTCGCATCCGTGGGCTCGTCCTCGGCCTCCTTCGTCTTCTCAGCCTGCTCGGCGGCAGTCGAGCAGCCGTTAGCCGTTTCGGACGCATCAAATAATTGGCAAAGTGTGGTCATAGCGGCCATCTCCGCCTCGCTGTCGAGCCTCTTCAGAGGTTGTCGAAATCGTCGCAAAGGCCACCCGTCGGCGGGCGGGGGCAGCAAGGGGCGCTCGGGCGCGGGCGGTGCGCTGAACGCACCTCAACGGCAGAACCACCCACCTCCACGCCTGGCGACTGTCTTGAACCTGTCCAATCGGCGACGCACTCCGCGGAGATTTTTCTGGGCAACTATTGGGCGGCTATTGGTGCGGAGGCGTGCCGGAGGCGCATAGAAAAGGCTCTCGCCCCAAACAAGTAGCTGGAGAATCTTCTCAGCGCACCTTCTCCACAAAGGGTGGGCTTCTTGTGCATCACGCCCAATATCTTGGCGATGTCCTTCACCCAGCACTGGCAGGGCACACGTGGAACATCCGGAAGCGGGCCAGGACGTCCGCCATAGCTTTAGTGTTTGCGATTGGTGCGATGAGAAGGACAACGGCCCGCCTGCCTTGCTGTCGGGTTTCTCAAGGGGGTTGCGCACGGTAGCGGAGTTGGACTGCGTGGGCGTGATTTTACTGCTTGTCGTCACAGCCCCCAAGCTCAAACATGCGCGCAGCTAACTTCCGCCCCTACTTGCGAAGCGCGCTGGCCTCATAAGCCCAGCTTTGGAACAGCAGACTTCCGTGGTCCACTGTCAGCGCGAACAATCGTGTGCGTCTGTTCACTCATGTCCTTGTCGGGCATGGTCCCCCTTTCGTTCCTGCCCTTGAAACGAGACTGAGGTCGTAGCGGATCGGCGCGACGGACTTAGACTTCAAGGTGACATTGGCGGGCCCCAGCCGAACATGGCGTGTAGCAAAGAGGCAGGCCTGTCGATGCACTCCATGGCGTACTCAGGCCATATACCTTAATGATCGTGTTGCAGCCTGCCCATTCGTGTTTCACCCCGGCGTCATTTGCAGTCGTCAACAGGGTGGCGAAGCTGGGAAACTTGGGGTCTTCGAGGTTGTCACAGTTGAAGTGTTCATGGCTCCGTGGCTCTCAGCTCGAGAGCATACATAGTTAGTTTCAAGCCCTGCCTCGGCCCGCTGGGCCTACCTCAGCTGATGTCTCACAATGTGACTGCGGTTTCACGCACGGCATCCACTACTGCAAGAACAAAGGGCGCTGTGGCCTTCTCTTCGGGGATAGCACGAAGGTCGTCCTCGTGTTCGGCACCATCTCTTTGCTGTTGCTTCTGATGTCCGACCTGGCTTTCGACGATGAGCAGGCAATGATGCAGAAGCCCCTCAACGGCACAGATGTGGTAACCGATGGGAACCTTACTGAGGAACACACGGGCATGGTGACGAAGCTCACGGACGCTCTGCACACCGAGGATCTGGTCCTGCTGAACCAGACGGACTCTTTGGAGGTGCAGGTCGCTTCTGTTGAGGTCACGGGCCAGGTGGTGACAACTGCGCGCTTCGACGAGCTGCAGCGCGGCATCCAGACGTGATTGAAGGGCACTATGATCAGAACAACGCCTACGTTGGCGACACCCACATCCTGGACACCGAGAAGGAGCTGCAGGTGATCTACGGTAAGAATGATCATGCTGGACAAGGTTTGGTTCGTCCTGGCGACCATCCACCGAAGCCGAGCTCACGCTCTTCCGAAAATGACGAGGTTGGCGACCACTGGGAGGTGGAGTTCACCGGCTCATCATGACGTGGCCCATCTTCTACGTGAGCCCAGTTCTTTGCGCTCTCGGCTACATGTTCCGGCCTGGACAAGGTGGTCCACAACCACAAGGTGACCCCGCCAGCATGCACACGTGGGTGATGCCGGCCCACCATTCGTGGGCACGGCTACCTTGAAATGCCCTCCAGCATGGTCAGTGGAACGAAACCACATCTACAGCTTTCGCTCCTGGGTGTCCGACATCATCCTCTGGTCATCCGCAACGGAGGTGGGCGCCCGACGTCAACTGCGTGATGGGGACATCGACCAGGCCACCGGAGCGCCCATCACGGGCCTCATGCTGCTGGTGCAGGTTCTGGCCCCGTTGGATGCTGAGTCCTCCACCAAGAGCATCGCGGAGTTCTTGGGTTTCCGACGGCTACCCGGAGAAGGCATAGATGACGTGCTGGTGCGGTTCGAAGTTTTGAGGTTGCGGGCGCAGAACGCTGGCGGCTTTGTCATGGGGCCGCAAGGACTAGCTTGGCTCCTACTGCAAGCCTTGCAGATTGGCCCCGAAGGCTGGGACAGACTGCTGGCGCCCCTACAAGGTGCTCTTCCACAACATGAAGCAGACCTTGGCCAGTTGATCGAGAGGATCAGGAGGAGTGGCCATGTTCGTTCATCATCACCATCCAGGAGGAACTGGCGATCCGGGACCCTGGCTGGCCGCGGCAACTACTACTTCCCGACCTTTGGCCCTGCGGGACAAGCTGATCCTTGGCAAGCACCCGGAGGCGATCCATGGGGAGTTTTTGCCGGAGGCAGCGCTGGTCTTGGAACTGCATCAGGACCGGCTATGGCTAGCTCTCAAACGCCTGGAGCGCTTCATGCAGGAGTACCAGCTCATGGATGCGGCCACTTTGCAGCCTCTCCCACCGGCAACTGTGCAACGTGCGGCTTCAACCAGCATGATGCAGGATGACAACAGCTCAGCAACCACGTCGGACGACGGCAGCACCTTTCCTGCAGATGATGGAGCCGGTGGAGATGGTCGCACCCCCGAGGAGCTCTACCAGGACTATGCTTTCGCCCGCCGAAAATGGAGGAATGCAAGGCACCCAGGCGGCTCCTGGCAACTGGCAAGGAGGAGGCAAAGGAAACTATGCCGCCTTTCTTCCGCCCGGCGCTTTTGCTGGAGGCAAGGGCGGTCCTGGCGGAGCTGGAAAGTTCCGTAAGAAGAACCCGAAAAGCAAGGATGGCTCCACCATGAAGTGTCATCAATGTGGGAGCGAGGCCAAGGTGATGGACGAGGTGTGACTGCGCTACGCACGCCAGGGAGGTGCAGCCTGGCTCCACACAACTGGCTTTGACGGGAGGGAACCCCGTGTCCTGGAGTATTGGTACGGCAACTCTGCCCGGAGTTTCTCGACTACAACACGCCCAGGAAGATGAGACATTCCGAGGCCTCTGCTTCATCGCCACCTCCACCGACATGGAGTCCTGACGTGACTACCTCATCTTGGACCTTGCCAGAGCAAACTGCTGAGCACTACAAGCTCGACGATGGTGACACCGATGAGGAGGAGCAGACCAAGGACGACGTCAAGGTCATTCCGCTGGTCGCTGGATTGAATGCCCCGAAGCATTCACCTCCTTCGCAGGCTCCCAACCTGAGGGGCATGGTCGCAGCGACTACGCGGCGCCCCAAGGAGGACGATGAGCTCAGGAGGAGGAACGCCGAGGGGTTGACGCAGATCCTGTTGGATCGACAAGCGGAATCAGCCCGGTTCTTCCGGGAGCAGTCTCTTGGGACCGTGGCAGTGAAGGACCGCACGGGAGCTATCACCTGCGCACCCGTTTGAGCGAGGGCCGCGTCGGTCTGTTTGTTGGTGGACCCTGGAGCCCATGACAATCTCATTGGGCAGAGGACAGCTGACGCAATGGCTACGCAGCTGCAGACCGACCCGCAGATCAGGCAGCTGATGCGAGGACTTTGCGTGGAAGGAGTAGGGCGGATGTCGCAGGACACAAGCAAGGCCACCCGGATCTCCATCGGCATGAAGACCTCCGAGGGTGAGATCTTGGGTGCCAGTTACACGTCCCCAGTGATCGCAGACAGCGATTTGCCGCCTCTGTTGGGTAACAAAGCATTGAGGAGAAGCCGGGCCTTGCTGGACTGCGCCACCGGCAAGCTCGTTCTTCCCGGTCCCGGAGGTGTGACACTCACCCCTTCCCCTGGCACCAAGGTCTTTGACCTCCAACTCAGTGACAGCGGCCACTTCATCCTCCCGTTGCACCAGAAGAAGAACGTGGATAAGGAGGTTGGCCTGGCAAAGGAGCAGTGCTACGACTTCCAGACGGCATGCCGCCAGTGTGCGAACTCCAGCACCGGCGGCGGCGGGAAGCCGAAGAGCTGCTGAGAAGAGGAGACGGGGGTGGAGGAGGTCGCTGCGGAGGCAGCGGCGGGCACTGGAAATCCAGACCACCGATTGAAGTCATTGACTGAATGTGTGGTTTGGGTTTTCAGTGACAGACAAGGGCTGAGACAATCACTGCTCCAACAATTCGGGCTCAAGACCATTCACTACCACCGCGACTTGCACTCCAGGCAGCAGGCGGGCCGCTCAAACTGCAGAAGTCCAGGTTTCTTTGGGTCAGACTTGCTGGGCCTGCAGCAGGAACAGGCAACAAGCATGATGCCCGCCGCACGGAGAACCTGGTTCGTCTGGTACGCTGTCAGATTGACCAGGGAGGAGGCGTGGTGATGGAGGCCAACGCCCTCAGCCAGGAACCTGGCCTCTGTCAAGGAGGTCACCAACCATCGACCGGACGGGACTTCGCCGTGCCTGTGAAGAAGGAGTTTGGCTGGTGGCGAACGAGCCGAAGGTCCATGCAGGCAAGGGCGGCACGTTCCTGGTTGATGAGGTCGGCACCCTCCCGAAGTTCGACTTCTGAGAGAAGACTGAGGGTGTTTCTGGTCAGCGGTCAGTGGAGCTGACTGGAACTCCCAGCGGGCGCTGGAATCCCTGTGCGGTCAGCAAAGCACAGCAGCATGGCATGAGCAAAAGCTCTGCAGCAGGCAACCTGAGTTGAAGTGTGCATGGCTCCGTGGCTCTCAGCTTGAGAGCATACATAGTTAGTTTCAAGCCCTGCCTCGGCCCGCTGGGCCTACCTTAGCTGATGTCTCACAACATGACTGCGGTTTCACGCACGGCATCCACTACTGCGAGAACAACGGGCGCTGTGGCCTTCTCCTCGAGGATGGCAATGCCCGGCTGGGAACTGTCACGACACTGCGAATATCCCGAGGAACAACCGTGTCCAGCAACATGTCATTTGTCACGCGATCTTCAAACTTGGGGTAAATCTGCTCACAGACAAAGCCGATCGAGGATCCAGCGGCCTGCGCCTCTACAGCAAAGGGGTTGCGGCTGACAAACTTAGCAGGAAAACCACCACTCTTTGCGGGGGTTGTTGGCAACGCTAACCTTGCGGTACCTGAAGAGCTTCTCCATGATGCCCTCGGCGAGTTCTTGCGCTTGTCGAATTTAGCAACCCCGGCCACGATCTTCTTGGCGCAATCGCCAGAGATGACTAATGCGTCCGGGCTTCAGGGTGGAAAGTCCTATCGCCAGAGGCCGGAGGCGCAAAAACAGCGGCCAGTTGCGGCGGCAGCGCTGTGAAAGGAATTAGTCTCGCGTTCAATCGCGCGATTAGTCAGCCAAAGTGCTGGGTAAAGGATCACAGAGAGCCCGAATCCAAAAAAATGGATGGGAAGCCAGAAGTCATTTCTGGGAGATCTCAAAAATGTAGTCCCAAGCGCGGTCTTCAGCGACTTGAACAACTTCACGGCTGTATCTACCACATTTGAAAGCCACATCATGCCAAGACCCTCTCTATTTCTACCAGCCACCGCTACCCTTTTTTTTCGTCAATGCGAACTTCAGCTGTTGGTCATGCCCCCAGTGCAAAGCCGAAGGTCAAATCCGATGCCAGTTATGATGTTTAAACCGTGGCCCGCAGCACGAAGAGCAATTCGTGCGAACCATGGCGTTGCGCGTGTTCCTGAACCTCCTGGTCTTGGACCAATCCTGTCTGCGCGAATCAGGGCAGGGCAAGTAGGACCAAACAAAAAATTGCCCCTCTTTCCACTCAATCCGGGGATGGTGTTGATCTGTCTGGCTTCACCGTCAAGGAGATCTACTTGTGCAACGCGGCGCGAGCGGCGCACGATGTGCTATAGACGAGTCGCTGCTGAAGGTAGAGCGATCGCTTTGACATGCTTGGGTCTCGCACATATCAGCGCGCTCCATCAAGCATCTGGAAGTCGTAAACGAATGAGTTGAACATTGAACAGGGGTCAGATTTAGCGCGTTGTTCTCTGGTTGGTGGAAGAGAGACATGTCATCAGGATTTTTTGCTTGAACGTGCCAAGGGTGAGGAGATTCATACTCCAGCGGTAAGAGTGCTAGCTCCTTAGTAATCGGAAGGGCAGGCGGTGAAGCGGAAGATCATTTCATTATAGTGTTCGTTCAGCCATGCCGCGTCAACCCTCTGTGCGCGGGACACATGTCGCACGTTGGGGTTATTGCCGGTGGTCCTGACGCGGCAAGCAGCTGCGCTGTCCATCACCATCCGCTCATCCAGGCATCAAGCCGTCCATCCATCCACACATCCACCCACCATCCATCCAGCCAGCCATTCACCCACGATCGCGCACGGCTCGTTTTTTCGTAAGGGGCTTTCGCTGGCACGCGAGGTCGGTGCGCGGAGCGTGAAAATAATGTCGCCACTTCCGAGGCTGGTTGTGTGCCAGCAAAATAAATCCGGCGCCGGGGGGCCTGTCCCCGGAGCCGTGCTGCGGCCGAAGGCCCAGGCTACGCCGACCACGAGGTCCAGTCACCAATACGCTTTACAAGCATCACTTTGCGCGAGTCCAGTCAATTAAATGGAAAACGGCTGGAGCAACGCCTACGCTGTCCATGATGAGTTCTAGGAACTCATCATATGAGCCACACGCGCTCGATTTGGTCTGCCTAGACCCGGCCTCGAACGCGTGCGCATTCATCGACTGCAACTCGAATCCGTCTGCTGCGCAGACAAGATGCGCTGAATTGTCTTCATGCATCCGCCCACCGCGTTGGGTGGGGCGCACAAAGCCGTTGCTTACCATGCCCTAAAGGCGTCCACTGACCCGGCCGAAGCCGTTTTTGACGGCGTATCGGCCTTTCCCTTTCCAACCGCGGCAGCCATTGCCTTAATGACTCCCTTGTTTGCCGATTGGAAAAAGGTCCGCCAACAATTGTCGGCCTTTGCCAATGTGTGCACCCAACTCCCGCCGATGGCGCAACAGCCCTGGACACCGTGTTAGGTGTCAGCAAAGCATGCGTGATGATAGGAGAGTTCTCAGGTCTGGACATCGGGTCAGAATTCAATTATTCTGGACTGGTGTCACCATTTTGTATGACAATGGGCACGCACCCTCAAGCGCTTCCAGAGTCACCTTAGATAAGTTGAAAGCAAGACGATAACATGAAAGACTGCAATGCAGGAGAGCCGAAGCCACACACCTTGCACGGTGACGAGCTTGATTAAGCCGCACACTCCAATCCTGCCGGGGCCGCTGCAGTAAAGCGGAAGTTACTGATTGAGTTGTGAACCAGACTCTTCGCTCTCTGCCACAATGCTGGAACAGGGGGTTGACGCAATTCGCGTTCACAAGGAGTCGTTCGACATTTGGAAAATAAAAACATGCCTAAGTTGATCGAAATAGTTGATCAGAACCCTCGACCTATGGGGCTCAATCCCGCTGGGACCTTGCAGCACTTGGCAATATGTCAGTTTGTCTCAGTACGGTCCTGAGTTTTCAATAGAACTCAGGTCATGTTTGCTGACTTTCTTCGCGTCGCCAAACGCACTCAACTGAGAGGTGGCAGAATTACTTTCGAATGGCTGAGGCGTTGCCTTGGTTGGAAGCAACCTTTCATGACGCGTCTACTCGACGACCCTGACATCAAGTGTGTTGATGTAGATGGCTGCGACTTTGGGAATGAGACTGGCTACCCGCACGCCAGAGGACAGGCCTAATCGGCTTGCAAAAGTCTTAGCGCATGCCAAAGAAGGGGTCATGACCCCGCATATCAATAGCGCCCTAAGCGGTACCTACAATTAGCTCGAATCTTTTGATACTGACATGATCGATGATCAGCCGCGCACCGGAAACACCCAAATATATCGCCGCCTGCGCGTGGCTGGTATTCTCAAAGCCATGGCGCAGGCAGAGGTGGAGCGGACTGACCAAAGCGTCTTCACAGCTGCCATCATCATCTGCGAGGCTATGCAGAATCAAAGTATTTCAAATGAGTCACACGAAAGTCGTCCAAGTCTGGGACAGGCCTCCTGGAGGTCTAGCATCAACGTGGTGTCTATGCCAAGACTTGGATTCTTCGTCTCGAACCCAATGATCTCTTTCAGATCGGTTGTTGGCCCACTACCAGCCTCGTCATAGATCAGGACCCGGATCAATAGCATTGGGCTGATCATCCGGTCCGCTTGAAGCATCCGCTTTGGGAAGACCCTTTCCCACTCCTGTATCAAGGAGTTGGACCTCCCTCGTTAACCGCTCATAGGCTGCTAACATTAGAAATACGTACCTCTCTTCACGGTTCCGCCAAATTCTTTTGACTTGATGAACGCTGGGTCGAGTAAACCCATTCCTGAAGTCTTCGAGATCGGCGACGTAGAAATCGGCCTTCCATTGGCCTCCGGGCTCCAGGCGGTATCCCGGGAAAATCCCAGGCTTAGACGCTGGCACGAATTTGGGCGCTTTTGAAGCAGGATCTATGGCATAGCAAGCACGTTACTGTATTTGTCTCCTCCGTGATCGGACATCGCTGATTCCTAGTTTAGTCCTCGGTTCGACGCGCGCTCGGACAAGTTCGCCAGATTCCCCATCATAGATCCAGTGGTCTTTTGTGGGAATTTCGTCAGCTTTGTGACAGCTTTCCCGTTCGGAGGCTGTTTTTGTGCACACGATCGAAGGAGTATTTCCCATAACGAAAGCCTCAATGTCCTCGTCAAGCGACTCAACAGTCACGTTGACTCTACCTTGCGTCCCAGCAACCCCGCTAGCAGTTTGCAACGAGTGCTGAACGCGTCCAGTCCTAATGCGCCGTTGATCCTGAGTCGCGATTTCATGCGTCCCACCCAAATCAATCGGGCAACCAATGTCTGCGAGCCATCTGATCTCGATAGATGATCCAGCTGCAGCAGGCGCCTGTGCCGGTCACGTTTTCCTTGATCATCCGAGGATGCCTGGCCCATCGGATATCAGGTACGTATTCACCCAGATACTCCTGTACAAATTGGCGCGTAGTCTCAGCCAGGATTCTTGCATTTTCTTCGGACATCGTGATGACTT